AAGCAGTGGTATCAACGCAGAGTACTATGTTAACAGCGCAAATATACAACCAAATAAAACATACAACCATACAACCATATACTACCAATATACAATCAGATGACGCAATGTGCAGTCAGTTACGATACAAAATGTGAATAACTCAAAAGAAGAGGAGCACAACAACCTAAGTCATTCCATCAATCATTGATATAGACAAAGTATAGACAGGATGAACAAAGCAAAAGAGAGGAGGAAATGCATAATGTGAAGGAACACTATTGAGGGACACGAATGTGCAGCAAACATAGAGAAACATAAAAAAAGTGGAGCTCTGCTGCCGTGAGCATATTCCCATTGCGCTGCAGCGGCGTACGCCGCGTACGCCGCTGCAGCGCAATGGAGATATGCTCACGGCAGCAGAGCTCCACTTTTTTTAATGTTTCTCTATGTTTGCTGCACATTCGTGTCCCTCAATAGTGTTCCTTCACATTATGCATTTCCTCCTCTCTTTTGCTTTGTTCATCCTGGTCTATACTTTGTCTATATCAATGATTGATGGAATGACTTAGTTTGTTGTGCTCCCTCTACTTTCGAGTTTCACATCTTTGTGTCGTAAGTGACTGCACATTGCGTCATCTGGTTGTATATTGGTAGTATATAGTTGTATGGTTGTATGTCTGGTTGTATATTTGCGCTGTTAACATCTCCTTACAAACACATCACTGGATGAAAAGGAATTCCCTTCTTCGTACTGTTAAACTGCATTGCAAATTTGATGCGCCGTTGTTGCCGCAGTTTGTTTTTTTCCTCAAAAAATATCATTCAAGTTTTGGCGCTGACTTCACAATTCACAATGCTAACGTATCCGGGGTCAAAACTGTAAAGAGATAAATGATGAAATAACGCTCTTTTTATAAGCAATTATAAAGATACATCAGAAAAAGCGGAGCTTTGCTGCCGTGAGCATGTTTCCATTGCGCTGCAGCGGCGTACGCGGCGTACGCTGCGTGCGCGGCATACGTGGCGTACGTAGCGTACGTGGCGTACGCGGCGTACGCGGCGTAGAATGAAGGAACCCTCTGAGGGAATCCTCGGAGACATATTTTGAATTTTTTTAAAGATACTACCATTTTGGACAGTACGACCCATGGGTGGATCATGAGTTTGACGGAACGAAATAGGCTCTAATCCGAAACGGCAGTAATCCAAAAAATAGGCCTTGTCTTAAATGTGTCCCTTAAAAAAGCGGATGGACACGGACAAATGACAAGCGATGGAGTTAGTAAAAGAAGTGACGATGCTCACTATCTTTTAGGATAAGATGAAATACCTTCCATGCACATCATGAACTTTAATTAAGAGAAGCCCTGCTATTGGTAAAAAATGATCATTTTTTGAAAAGAAAAAAAGATTTTGATGTCGTTGGCTGAAACTCAAATCAAGGGATATGCCGTAATTGCAAGTCAAGAAATTCATACATTCAGTCTAATGAATTTAAGTTGGTCATTACTTCTTTCAAGGTGTCGGAAAGATCAACACTTGTTTTTACCTAAGACAAATCTTTGAATTTTAGCCTCAAGAAATTCCCACGACTCTGGAATTTCACGTTTGATATGACCGTATATTATGTTGGCTGGAAATTCTCGAACACTTTCAAACTAAATCTGCTATTTCTCGAAACCTAATGCATGTAATCCGATGAAGGAATCATTTGATAGAGCAAATCAAGCTCTACAGCTTCGACCTACCGTAAGTTTGCATCCAGAATTTGAGTCGTACTGAAGACGAAAAATTGGAAAAGTTCATATTTTGTTTAAAAAATCCTACACATCTCTAAATTGCTCTTGCGAAATGCACACCACATCAAACACTCATATGTATCGTTCCTGTATGTTTTACTATCTAGAAATCGACGAAAATCTTCATGCTTATATGAAAACGAAATTGTGCTCTTTCTACACACGCAATTGTGTGTAGTATAAGTGCAAGCCCATAGAAGTATAAGCGTAAATTTTTAGCTTTCCGCAAGCCCTACTTGTCGAAAAAAATTGATTTTAGCATAGGACACCAGATTGAGGAGAGCTCAATACGGTAATTTTTGGAAACTAAGGCCTTCGAACTTTCGCTTTCTCGACTTCTTGATGAGGAAAACATACAGGAACGGTATATATGAGTGTCTGATGTGGTGTGCATTTTGCATCGCAATTTGAAAATGCATAAGATGCTTTTTCCCAATTTTCTGAGCTATCAGTACGACTCACAAAGGAAGGAAACTTGGTCGAAGTGCCGTCCATGTAAAATGTAAACCAACTTACAGAGCATAATAGCTGATTCTAAATCTGCTTTCCTTATCTGCGAAGCCCTGCTGGGGGGGGGGGGAGTTCTGGAATTTTTTTTTGAGGTACAAATTCGATGATTTGGCTAAGGTAAAAACAGCCGTTGAGAATTTTTCGGCGCTTGAAAGGAGTAATGACTGAATGAGTTTGTAAGATTGAAGGTATTAATTGCACAAAAGGCCCTGGTAGCAATTTGGCCCCATCCGAACTCACTGTTCAAAATATGATTGCTTTCATTGTAGCTGCGCTTTCGAATTTTTGTATCCTCCCAGCAGAGCTTTGCAGATAAGGAAAGGAGATTTGAAATGAGCGTTGCATGCTTTATAGGACAGTATACGTTTTGTATGGGAACGCCACTTCGACCAAGTATCCTTTCCTTGTCAGATTCTAAATGCAAACTTAGGTGGGGCGAAGCTGATGCGAACTTTTGCATACCATCTTGTAGAGCTTGCTTTGCTCTATCGAATAGTATCTCTAACGGATGTTTATGCATTAGGTTTCAAAAAATAGCAGATTTAGTCTGAATGTCCTAGAAATTTCGAACCAATCTAATACAGTAACGCTCATAATTGGTCAAAAAAGTCGCCGGAGTGCGCTGCAGTCCACTAGAGTGCAGTGGAGTGCGCCACACATCACTGAGTCCGTCGGAATCCGCGCCGTATCGCCATATCTCGCTTCAAAATGGACGAATTCTGAATCCGAGGACACCGCTCGTCTGCGTCTCCACCGTTGCGCGCCACCTCGCTACCTTGAAAGCGGGCATGGGGTTTGCTCTGGTGCCCTTTTTGCTGTCCTAAATCGAATTCCAGCAGTTATATACCAGGTTAGCAAGTTATAGCAAGTTACATATCGTATTGAAGCCTAGATCTCTACTTTAGAGATGACATCGTCGCAAAACTTCAAAAGGATGTGGTGAGCGAGTAGATTATTATAGATGAGCTAATAGTTGAATAGCAGCTTCTTGAGTGAATTAATCAAAACATATTTATTTGCTTAGACAGAAATAAAAGAGCTCAATGACTGGAAGAAGGAAGATAGGCACCTAGCAGTGTCGGTCCTAGGATTTCCGTTCGGGAAGGCGGGGGGGGGGTGGGCAACTAGCCACGTTCCCAAAAGAAATTTTTATAAGGCTAAATTGCATTTTTTGATAACTAGAAGTTATTTCAATTATTTACAAGCATAAACAAGTCACTTGCACGTTTTGAGCTTATGTAAAGGAACCTTTGAATATTTCGCGTATCGCGCCTCCCCCCCCCCCCTCCCCCTCCCCCCGCCTCCTCCTCGGTCCGCGACTGGTAAGCATTGAGAATGACCTGTGGAACTAAGTTAGGTTAGAATTGAAGATGAAATTGATGGAAACTTTTTCTGTAGAAGAGGCCCAAAGTTTGCTCACATAACTGAAGTATACTTGATTTTCATTAAGGTAGATTGACCTGAAAGAATGAGTAAATTTGATGAAAGTTTTGAGAAACGCTTTGCTCCTCCTAATGTGTTGCGGCTCGGGGCCCAGCGCCCCTAGCCGTGTGCTCGACTGTCCTACACCACAGTCTCACACCCTAGGACGTTACGCGTCCGATACCGCTGAATCCACACGGTGCGTTCATTCGACGCGGTCACCCAACTATCCACCCAAACATTTCACACAAATATAGTTATATTAAGTTTATATAAATAAATACGTACAAACAACAAATATAAAAACAATGTACAAAAGAAATACTCGGCTCTTAAAAAGGATGATCAACCTACTACCACAAGACTAGCCGCGAGTCTTGTGCTGCCGATGTACTAGTGGCTTAATCCATTCGAGAAGTTTTGGGTTCCTCCACAGAGTCGGCCGCTAGAGGCCCAGTCCAAACGGTGCACTCACCAGCTCCACTCCCGTAACGGTGTTCATCTACGGCTACCCAGTTCCCTCGCGCTAACGCGCGTCCAATCCACAAGATCCAAAAGGCTCAACCGCTCAACACCAGATCTTCAACTGCGGGAGCTGCCCAGAACGTAGCCAAGTAGGATGCAAAAACAATCAATAATAAAGGCGAATGTCGAAGAGGCGAGGGCTGCTCTTAAAGGCAGTGGATCGGCAAAACTCAACAACTTACGATTTTAACGCGATAGGTTCTCTATCGCCCAAGTATGGAAACAGTGCAATCCTGGTTGCACAGCACGCCTTCCCTAGCGAGAAAATGGCACTCATACATACACGCGCAGGGCAATCTTACACGCTTCCGGACGAGTTGGCAATTTCCTCCTCACCATTGGAGGCTGCCCGCCGCAATGCTATAGCCAGTGGGTCCCGCAGCGATCCAGCATCATCAGCCTTGCTCCACTCGTCCAATGCCGAAGGGAAGGGCATTGAAAAACGCTGGTTTTCGCCGTTTTCAAGCTCGCAGAAGTGGATTTTCGGGATCAGCGTATTGAATAACCCCAGGTAAGCGAAAATTTGGCTAGGTTGAGATTTGCCGAGCCACTGCCTTTAAGCGCAGCTTCATATACCCTGTCACTTGGCTGCGTTCCGAGCCGGAGGTGGTCCTGCGGCAGCCCACAAAAGGCGCGAGAGACAAAAGCGGTATACAGCGCCCCCGCCACCTGTTCGGAAGAGCGCTCTGCATCGCGGAGCCGCAACATAATGTTTGAGTTAACAAAAAACATTTATGAAAAAATGCTAATAGAAATGTTTCCTGATACACTTTGAGCCGTTGTTGAGAATCGAAATTATTACCTAGCAATACAATAACATTGGTTTCGATTCAACAAAGAGGGTGTCTCAAAAATGAGCCTAGTATGATTGTTAAAACTCTCCTTCCATAAAGCTTTTAGAGAAGCTTCAGTTATTTGTAGAGCTGGCTTCAACTTAGATTTTTTTAAGCGAACTTCTGTTCTCTCTTCGATACTGCAGGATTACGGTAGGTACTTCCAGTATACTGTGCCGTTGTGAAATAAGACTTCAATCAAAAAGAATTCAAAAAATCGGAAGATTGTGTGGCACGGTTCTCTCGCATGCTAAACTTACACAACTCTTCGCAGCATTTATGAGCTTTTTTGGTGGCGTGATCACATTTCCGAAGAAATGGAAAAGCAATTGTGGTATACAGGTAATAAGTTTTGGTGGAAGCATGATTTTGACGCGGAAATTTCATATTTGTAATAAGCGACCTTGATTAGCCATAAAAACTTTGGCTTTTTCAAACAAAATGCGACTCTTAAAGCTCAGGACCCTCTTCAAAATTTCCATCGTTATCCTATAGTGGGAAGGAGCTCAGATAATCGCCGGGGGCAGGCGGTCCGCAAACTCGCGCTTTTCTGCAAGCGGTCAGCAGAATTTTGGGGCGTGGCCAAAACTTCAGCGAGCGGTACTTCCTTTACTGTCTAATGTTCTGCCAGCGGGCAGCAACACAGAATTTTCTGCAGGCGCTCATCATATAATCTCTTTCAGCGAGCGCTGGTCAAATTTTCAGCTGGCGCTCGGACGGTTTTAAGCAGTTTCGAGCGTACGCCGAGCAAAGGTGAGACTCTACATGACAGAGGTGTCATCGATGGTTTAATTACTCAAGTTTGAGGTACTTTCTTTGAGCGGAAAGTACCTGGGAGCTGCGCGGTCCTCCACAAAGGACCGTGCGGCCCTCGAAAATTTTGCATAACTTCGCGGAAAGTCCGCGAGAATGCGGCTATTGTGCCGCAGCTAATCTATAGGAAAACCGCGACTGTTTTCCAAGATTAGTTTAAAATTTGCTTAAATTCTTCCAAATATCTGCAAGCGGACCGCAAGAAATCAGCGAACTATTTTTCCGGTGCCCGCCCGCCCATAAATCGCATGGCCGCCTGCCCCCGGCGATTATCTGAGGAGTGATCGGTGATTTGCCCCATATTATGAATCCGATTGTAAGTTCAAACTAACTCTACAAAATGTTGCCTAAACCTTCTCCAAGGACTTCACGACAGTAGAATCATTAACAGTGAAACAAAAAGGCACATTTTTTGGGACACCCTGTAGTTTGCTTTTTATAAAACAGAAATGAAATTTTCAAACAACTCACATTGGAGAGTCACAATGTCAAAGAGTCGAATCATCACAAACTCCATAGCATTAGTGAGAGCTTGAGCTGATTCCAAACCTGCTCTTCGTAGAAAAAAATTACGAGCATTTTGAAGCGAAACAATCAATCAATTTGCGGGGTGAAGTCAGTCGCTAAATTCTTTCTAGACGTCATCAGGAGCAACAGGAGCTACTTATATTGAGCAGGAGTCCGTTATGTGGAGTATTCTGGCAATCTAGAAAGGAAACAGCAGTTGATTCCATCTCGGAAATTGGTCGAAATTTTGCTTCAAAAAGAATGCCCATAACTTCTCTGCAAGGGGCCCCGCAAATAAGAGAAGCAGGATTCAAATCGGCGCTTGAGATTTCAATAGTATGCAGTTTGTGCTAAGCGGCCACTCCGACTTCGTTACCCTTCCTTGTTAGTACAGTTGAGTAGATTTCCTGCTTAATATAGTGTCCCTGCAGACGCGACAACGCTAGGGCGTCAATAATTGCCTTGCGAGTTCCCGAGCTAGTGTTTTCCAATGTTTTCTTTGCTTATTTCATGCTTTTTAGTTGAGTCGTTGCTGATAAAGAAGAAAAGGGTAAGTTAGAGAGTTTCTGATTTCTGAGAATTCTATCATCGCATATTCACAGATATCCACGTGAAAGCATTTCGCGTCAGCTCCTTGTCTATTTTTATGTCATATCCTTTTCTTCTGTTACTTCTTCTTCTTTCAAACCTCATCCTTCTTGTGAAGCGTTTCTTTGAACGCTAGTTGGCTTGTCTTGCAGCAACTTCGGCTTTCACCCATAAGAAATAGCATTTTAATCAAGTACTTTATGTGATGAAGACAATAAGTCAATCGTAAAAACCCACTAGCGTTCAAAGAAGTACTTCACAAGAAGAAAGAGATGTGAAGTGACAAAAAAAATAGACAAGAAGCTGACGCGAACTGCTTCCATGTGGATATCTGTGAATATGCGATGATAGAACTTCTCAGAAAATAGAAACTACTCTCTGACTTACCCTTCTCTTCTTTATCAGCAACGAATCACCTAAAAAGCATAGAATAAGCGAAGAAAACACTGGAAAACACTAGCTCGGGAACTCGTCAGGCAATTATTGACGCCCCAGCGTTGTCGCGTCTGCAGGGACACTATATTAAGCAGGAAATCTACTCGACTGTACAAGTAAGCATTTTTACATTTTCTGTGTATGAATAACGAAAGAAAAGTTATATACTATACACACCTCGACCAGACATTGCATATACCTTGCTAGGGAAGAGCAGACTATAACAAGAATTGACATTTATTACGGTGCCCTCCCCTGTCAAACCCTTGCGCGGAATCCGCTTATCATAAAAGACAAGTTCAGAATAAAGCCTCTGTAACCATTTCATGAGTGTAAACTAGGCTCTGTAGGCATGAAAATAACAGCGGCAACCTCCTCCTCAACACGTATTTTCAAAGAGGTTGTGGCACCTTACCAGTTTTGACATGGGAGACTCGAGAAAACGTTGACAGAAGAGCGAGAATGTATACATTGGATTTTGGTCTGCACTTTTGCGGAAAACAAGAAAGAGCTAAAACGCATACCTAAAGTAAAAACACGATACAGCTTTGCCTATCGAGTTTTGAGCAACTTGGAGGAGTGAATGTTTACTAGATAAACACTCTCTGATTTGAGTGACTTAGGTATGCACTTCGATCAAACTGTAACCAAATATTGATGTGGCCAAAATTTTTGCATTGTCTTCCACCTCCGCTTTAATTGTTTCAAATTCCATTAATTTCGTCAGTAGCCTAAAGTCTTTGTCTATTCAAAGGTGATACCGACACGCAGCGTTGTATCCCTAGCCCGTTATTCGGTTCAGTCGGCGCCCATGCCAGAATGTCGACTTCTGTGCCGTCAGTCCAAGTCCAGTTATTGTTTACTGGATCTCGTCTCAAATCTATCCAAGTTGTATTAAAACAACAACTAGTATATGGTTTACCCGATTTCGCTAGCTCTAAAAAATTAAAAATGGTGAACATACAAGTATCACGTAATGGACATACCGGCTACGAAATCATTTTCTAGAAAACTATGGATTGAAGTCAGATGTCCACCTAGAGTTCTACATACTCCTTCGGCTTCGTCAAAGTTCTTCCAGAAAAAAGCTAACTTCTAAACGCTGTCACTTCAATATTTGTGAAAGGATGTGGTTTTTTTTTAACAGTGAGTGCCTGTTTCTGTAATTCTGGTGCGTCTCTGTCTGTCTGTGCAAATGTTCCATATAGATAAAGTTATTTCTGAATCAGTCTCGACCAAACTTTGCCCAAATACGCCTCGGAGCGAGACAGGTGTTAACACACTGACGACAACGCGCATTTTTGGTTGTCTGTCTTGACAATGCCTTTCACGAATAAGTCGAAATTTCCTAGCTAAAATCATACAGATCGTCATTTGTACTATACCTACACAAATCACAAAAAGCAGCCAAGAAACGTCAAGAAATCCTCTAGGATCAGAGCTTAAAAGACCTCATGAAACGAATGTACCCAATAATTGTTATTATTCCAACGAAATTTGAGTCGTGACCCATCATGTGGGTCGCGCTGTCCCAGGTGACAGTCACTGCATGACCCATCATGCGGGTCACGTTGTCTTCAATGTGTTAAAGGCGAATTTTCGTCAGCTTTCTGTGATGAACAATGAGAGAAAATCAAAATCATTAAAGTCGATAATTTTTTGATGGGCTAACATCAGTCTTTTGCCGGCCCCGTATTTTTCGTGCACGTACGCATAAATTTTCGAAAAGATATCAATTTGCGAAGAATTTGAGCTCTCTATCTACGGTATACCTTCCGTAACATTACATTACATTCCCAAGTCCGGACCACTCTGGCTGGCCCTTCGCTTAGACGTTCCCAATCATGCGCCAGAATCCCGTAGAATTCCAGCGTAAAGTGGCAAAGCTAGAGCTTCAGAAATCTTAAGACCCACATGTGGGTCGTATCGTCCTAAATGGCAGAACACGTACGACCTAGTCTTAACGATTTGTAAGTGTAAGGTAAAGACGGTTTTATATACACAGCTCAGCAGTATAGGAATGCTCCGAAACACTGGTGGCTTGAAGATATAGTTATTTCACTTGCAAATTACCATGCAGCACGCTCACATGAGCCGTATCACAGTTTGTGAGTGCTTATACAAAAGTCTGTGGAAGCTGAGAATGCTTCAATGAGTAAAACCATGTCCATTTAGTTTCCAGCCTTCATAGCCGTTTTCTTAAATGTTTCGTGAGAGAAGAAGGTAACCGCAACAGAAAGGAAACGAGAGAGCTTGCCGTTGCTAACAATAGACTGGTATGCGAATGCGTGCAAAACTTATTAGAAAGAGGAGGAAGCTGCATCGAATAGTACCTGAGCTGTTCTCTCTTTGATGTTCCGCGAGGATTTAGCTGTGTATGGAAATTGGTAGTGTTAGTTAAAATTTTGTTTTTAAAGTATGACAAGCTGTGGAAAAGGAGAACAAAACTGTTTTGCGTCATTTGGGGTCTGCTTCATAGATATGTTACTTTTGCATCTTCGGAGGTTTGATATAAAATTTTAAAAAATTGTGGAACTTGACATCTCAAAAAGCAGGGGGTCGCAGATTTTATTTATTTTCTGAAAGCTCCGTGATTGTGCTGCAATATTTTCATAACCTTTAGATGGAAAATGAAATTTATTCGAATGCTGCCAAGATCTCTTGAAAATCTTCATTCCATCAAATGTGGCGCCCCTTTGAAGAAAGCGAAATTACTTTTGGAATAACCTCCCCCTCCCCGTCACAATTATCTCGCCCACTTTTGTGCCAAGTCCTCATCCTTTGTAGACTTTGTCGCTTCTGCTCATCACGGCTGAGCTGCCTCCCTAAGGAACAAATCTTTGCAAAATCGAAAACTTTCTTACTATACTTTGTGTGTGTGTGCGAACCAAAACCGTTCCAAATTTCAAAAAAAAAAAGGCTGTTCACTACGAGGCAGAGCAGCGATGAGTTAAAATCAAAAACGTGCCAAACATTCTTGGCCGTCAGGTGGCCTGAAGCCACCTAGAGTGCCACCTAAGGCGGCTCAAGGCGAATAAAGTCATAAATTTTGCCTTGCCTCACATAACCTAATTTTTTGCATATTTTATCCCAAATTTAAATTCTACTAGGTCGTTCTGAAAGTAATGTCGCTTTTTTTAAACGTACGCCACATTTCATGGAATAAAGATGTGTAAGACAATCTGGTAGCTTTTAATGCAGCATTTCGTTCCGGAGATCTGTGGCTGGGCGGCCAAGTAATTCCTTTTTTTTTACATGATAGTTAAGTCAACGATGAAACATTTGTAAAAGTTCACTTTAAGGTGTAAGCTTCCACCTTCTGAAACTTATGAGATATTTTTTTGTTTTTAGAAAACAAAAAAAAAACCGTTGGAAGCTGTCGATGATTACCTCTCGCTTGTTTGACAAAGCACAGATAACTTCTTTGAAACAGAAGAAGTTATTGATAGTTTGCAAAGATGTCAAAATAACAAAGATGATCGCAATTGACAAATGAGCTTTATTTCGTATTTAGTGCAAAGCCGGTTTTTTGCATACGAACGATCTTACGGTGAGACTGCACTCAGCGTCCTCCCATTTTCGAAAGAATAGAGCCATGGTCAGGTTTGCATGAGCATCAGAGTTGAGCTGAAACAGAAGTTACACGTAGTCATTAAAATTCATCGAAAACAGACTGATTCATGAAATGGTGAAGGGGAGCACAAGCGAAGACAGTATGGTTGGGCTGGAGTTGATGCTACTTTGCTAGCACGTCAAATGCTCAAAGGCAGTGGCCCTCATTTCTTTCCTGCTGCACTCTCAGGAGGCAGTCGCGAAGAAGTGCTGAAACGGCGCCATGCCTCTACAATCACGCGATAGCATAGGCATTTTGCCGCTAATTGAGAAACAGTAAATGGGTAGGTTTGCAGAGAATTAGGCAGAGAAAGGTAGTCTTCTTTTACTTTTATTCTTGAAGGCGCTGCTGACGTGTAAAAACAAAGTCTTGTTTCCCCCGATTGTATGAAAGCAAACTCATGGAAGAACTGGGCAACTTCCTTTGAGTTTGAAAGAGGGCTGAACAGTCTGCTTAGCATTTGATTGATAGCTAAAAGTTGGGTTTCGCATGTAAAGGTGAAGGTCTGCTTGTCTATATGTACGTATGTGCAATTAAAAATCTTCCTTTCTAAACCGTTTGCACCAAATTGCACACTACACTTTGGAGACAGGTGTCATAGGTTACTTTTCGGTGACATCGGTCTTCGAGCCAAGGGGCTGGGTTCCTTATGCGACAGCCGCAGTGTGAATAATTGAGTTTTTGAAATATACTGTTCGATGGAGCAAAGCACTCTGCGAGTAAACTACCCTATTTTCAGGTGTATCGGATTTTTTCAAATTTTCCCACGAGTTACTCAGCCGCTTCATTGTGTTTCGAGAAGAGATCTTTATGCCGCACGATTCTTTCAGGCAATACGCGGCACGGTGTAGGGTCATTTGGTTGCGAGATCCCTTGATGTGTTTGGGCTGGTCGATATAAGCTAAGACCACCCCGCGGCTTATACACCTGAAAATAGGGTAGCAGATCTTTTCAAACTCGCGATTTGCCTTGTGTTGGAAGCCGAAATCAAAAAGTACTCAATGTTCACCAGCTCTCATCATTGATAGACACTAGTAATGTACATAAATTCTGCCGCCTTTCCATAATTTTCTGGTGTATGACGGCAGTGAGATAAGATGTCGTCTGATTCCAAAGAATGATTATAGTCAGAATTAACCTGTGGAACTAATTCGCGTGTTTTTTTTTCATTTTCCATTTGTGTGTTCTACATCCTGGCTGAACAGGAGATTTGTACTATTTTTGGATGAGATTTAAAGAGTATTTGATAAATTTTAGTTTTTATTCAAACTTCACACGATTTGGACGAATACCTAGCAGCCGTTTCGTACAGCATGCTCTGCTTTATTAGGCCCGGGCACAAGTCACTCCAGCAGTTCTTGAAATATGGAGTTTCATTTGACTTTGCAACACTACCGCGACATGCTCCGTGACATAATCACCGAGAAAAAGCGAACAAAAGCAAGTCATTGGAAAATTGCTCAAAATGTTGAAAAAACGCGGATATTTGTACCATTTGCTTTGGGGCATGCTGTGTTCGGCGCACCAGCGCGCGCTTGGTGCAGCATTGCTGTTATAACTCAGTCTAGAGTACTGTTATTGAGCGGAGAGGAGGTTCAAAATAGTTTGAGAGATCGTTTATATTAGGTCGTTCCGAAAGTAATGTCGCTTTTTTGAAATGAACGCCACATTTTAAGAAATCAAGATTTTCAAGAGATCTTAGGAGCATTCCGATACAGCATTTCATCCTCTTTCTAATGGTTGTAATCTCATTGCATAATATTCATCGTGCGCTCCAAAAATTACCAAAGTCTGTGACTCATGCTTTCTGCCATGTTGCCAGTTGCCAGTTGTTTGCCAGTTCGGCAACTTTTTAAAAATTTTGTACTTATTCTCCGAAGATACACATGACAGGTAGATAGAGCAACTCTATAGGACACAGAGTAATTTTTTTCTTTTCCTTGGCTTGCTTCTTAGAGCTTCTGGAATCAATTTTTCAATGCTATCAAATCTCATATTTGGTCTCAAACCAACCGGCAAGCAATTCGGGTGTCATTCGACGCAGCCTTTTCCTACCAGTTGTTTTTTGTTTCCGATTCATCAAGCTTTCCGGGATGAAATCATCATAATTCAGGTTTTCCAAGCGCCCCAGGCTGTACTCAGAAATTTCGAAAGTTGTTAATCTGAAGCGGTGAATGCCCATTTGGTTTGTAAAATTAGTGTCAAACAATAATCCTTTTTTGTAAATTTCAAATCCGAACATTTATTGGTGCTTGATGCTTTTGTGTCTGAAACAATTCGGTGGTTCCATTAAAAAATCTATACAAAAATTATGACGAGCTCTGTAGATAGAAAAGTTGGCTGTTTCCTACAAGGTTTCTTCCCATCCATTACTTGGACTCCATCCAAGGGTTGTTACTTGGTCTCCTCAAAAAGTATGGGTCGCAGATTTTGATAATTTTTCGAGAGGTTATTGAATTTTGTGCAGTAATTATATTAGGTTGTCCCGAAAGGTTTGTCGGTTTTTTTCATCGCTCACTAAAACCCAAAGAACACTAATCCATGGACGACGCAGATATCATTCAATTCAGATTTCTATCCTCTTTCTCACAGCTACACTTCCTCTCTGATCTACCTTGTCTTGGCAATGTCATCGCCATGGCTTTTTGAGCAGTTCAGCACTAAGGCAAATTTTTCTTAAATTTTAAAATTTTTTATCCTGACGTTTCAAAGAGCGCTAGTAACTGTTATGTATAGCAAATCTTTGGCTACATTGAGTTTATTTTAAATTACATGAGCCACGTTTACCAAGTTTCTTATAATTATTTTTTTAAAGAAAAACCGCGGCCTTTTGATTACGTGTACCACGCAAAGTTACCAAAAATTCCAAAAAGCTGTATTTTTAGGGCAAATTAAACTTGGTTATGTTGCTAATTATCGTTTATTAGCAACCAAGTTCTAATTCGCAAAATTTCAAAGCTTCCAAGTGTTTGCTGCAGTTGCCTGTTTCATGACTTGGCCAAAAATCGAGACCCCAAAAAAATATTTTTTGAAGCTAAAAACAGCAGGTTAGGAGAATTTAAAAATATCACTTCGTGGTCCGAGAATTGCTATTTGTGACATACCTAATCACCTCCAGAACACAGCAATGAAGTTTGCAAAAATTAACCTAATTTTGAGCAGGTAAAAATGACTGGTGAAGAATTGTAACGATTATCAAAAAAAAAGCGTAGAGGATTGTTGCTCGAAAATGTAACCGTAAAAAAGAGAAGGAAAAGCTGCATCTGCATGTTGGAACTCTTCAGGTCTTTATTGTGCACAGTTTTATAGCGGTTTGAAAAAACCGACAAAACTTTTGAGACAACCTAATATAACCATTAGAAAGGGAATGAAATGCTGCATCAAATGAAATGCTGCATCAAATGCTACCAGAATCTCTTACACATCTTTGTTCCATGAGATGTGGCGTACGTTTGAAAAAAGTGACATTAGTTTCGGAACGACCTAGCAGAATTTGAAATTCGCATAAAATATGCAAAAAATCAGCTGGCACTCTAAGTGGCTTCAGGCCACCTGACGGCCAAGAATGTTTGGCACGTTTCTGATTTTGACTCGTCACCGCTCTGCCTCGTAGCGAACAGCCTTTTTCTGAAATTTGGAACGGTTTTGGTTTCGCACTTACACACAAAGTATAGTAAGGAATTTTTTGATTTTGCAAAGATTTGTTCCTTAAGGAAGGCAGCTCGTCCGTGATGAGCAGAAGCGACAAAGTCTGCAAAGGATGAGGACTTGGCACAGAAGTGGGCAAGATAATTGTGACGGGGAGGTGGAGTTGAACCTGAAATATATATTAGGTTGTTCCAAGAGTAATTTCGCTTTCCAAAGGGGCGGCAGATTTGATAGAATGAGATTTTTTAAGAGATCTTGGTAGCATTCGAACCAGCATTTCATACTCCATCTAAAAATTATGAAAATCTTGCAGCACAATCAATGAGCTTTCAGAAAATAACTAAAATCTGCAACCCCCTGCTCTTTGAGATGGTCAAGTTTCACAATTTTTCTAAACTATTATATCAACCCACCGAAGATGCAAAAGTAACCTATCTATGAAGCAGACCCTAAATGATGCAAAACAATTTTGTTCTCCTTTCCACAGCTTGTCGTACTTTTTAAACAAAATTTTAACTAATGCTACAAATTTCCATACTTGAAGCTAAATCCTCGTGGAACATCAAAGAGAGAACAGCTCAGGTGCTATTCCATGCAGCTTCCTCCTCTTTCTAATAAGTGTTTCTTGTTTCCGATCTGTTTGGTCTCCGGAGATAAAATCATCATAACCGTATTTTTGAACGCGCCCCAAGGTGTACTCGGAAAACTCGAAATTTGATATTTCGAATCCGTAAACTCTCACTTGCTTTATAAAATTAGTGCTAAATCATGGTACCATTTTGGTAGTCTCAAATTCCGAATAATTACTGATGTTTGATGCGATCGTGGCTGGCGTAGACCTACCAAAATCCGATGGTTTTGATCAAAATTTTCTTGAAAAATCTTCGCGAGCTATGGAAAAAAAGTTGTGCTGTATCCTATGAGGTTTTCTCTATCAAAAACCATTACTTGGACTCCTTTGGAGACTTGCTAAAAAAGTTTAGAAATATTGTGAAACTTTACCATCCCAAAAAGCTTTTGTCGCAGATTTCCGTTACTTTCTGAAAGCTCATTGAGCTTTCAGATAAGAACGCTCATCGCTGCAACAGTTTCATAACCTTAAAAGTGAGGATGAAATGTTGTTTCGAATGCTACCAAGATCTTAAAAAATTTCATTCTATCAAATCTGGCGCCCCTTTGAAAAGCGAAATTACTTTTAGTACGAAACAATATATGACTCACGAAACAAACAAGCTCAATAGTATACGACTGTCACAAAGGTGATCGTAAAATGGGCACCCGCGGGGGATTGGGGTCGTGAGGGGGAAATAATTGGATATAGAACCTTGAGCTTAAAAGAAAAACGAATAGCAACTAATTAATCCAA